CTGCAAAGCCCTAAGACTAACTTTACCTATGGCTGCCACTCACCAGCAGGGCTTGCCAACTCCCAAAAACTTCACTAGTGACAGTGAGCTTTCTTTCAAAATAATACAAGCATTTCTCTCTCATAAAACTCCTAACCCATTCTTTGTTCTTTGGACATATCAGAGACCAGCCCAGTCTCTGTGTGTGCCCTGAATTGCAATTCTGTTCCCACATAAGACATTTTATTTAGAGATTCATCTCTGTGTGTTTTTATTTGACTTTGACATCAGGAACCTTCTCTCTGGGCTGGGGCAGGCAGCAAGCGACCTGTAGCTGATCGAGCCAGTAGCTCTAGCCACGGCCTCTGCTATAGTCTGAATGCCCCCCTCCCTTATTCATATGTTGAAACTAAGCATCAGTGTGATAGTATTAAGAGGGGGGTCTTTAGGAGGTGATTAAGTCATTATCAGTGACCCTGTAAAAGCAATGCAAGGGAGTTGTGTGCCCCTCCAGCCCTTCTACCATGTAAGGACGCAGCAAGAGTCACCATCTATGAAGTAGAAAGTGAGCTTCGCCAGACATCAAATTTGCTGGTGCCTTGATCTTGGACTTCCAGCCTCCAGAACTGTGAGAAATAAATTTGTTCCTTATAAATTACCCAGTCTTGGGTATTTTGTTATAGCAGCAGAAATGAATGAAGACAGCCTCTATCCCTGAATCCTCAGCCCCTTACTCTGCCTACAGGAAAGGGGGTTTGCTATCCACAGGAGAAAAAGAGGCCTAAGGTGGGGCCATCGCACAACTCAATTTAAAGCTGCAGAATGGCAGCATGTACAAACCACAGGGCAGGAATGGAGTAAATGAGAGGCCAGATATCGCAAGGAGCTTGGCCCTTTCACAGCCTGTTCACTGAAGAAGAGTGCACCAAAGAGTTCTTCTGGGATGTGAAGTCAGAACATATGATGGGCATTTTTAGCCAAACGATAGCCATTTGGGTGGAGCATCTGGCCATTATTATGACCTCAAAAGTCTGTTTTCAAACATCCCTACATCACAACCATGCTTCTTGCCCACTCCTGTGATGACTGGGATATTGGTTCTGCTGTTGTGATGAAGATCCCGACAACCAGTGGTTTAAACAACATACTGTTTTTTATCTGTCACTTAACAGTGTATGCAAAAGCAATTCAGGACCAGCATGCCAGTTCTACAGTGCCCGGGAGACAGGCACCTACTCCTTTCCTTTAAAGATATGACCAGGAAGTTGTACTGGTCACTTCTGGCCACACCCCACCGGACAGCATCATGTCATATGGGTACACCTTGCTGCAAGGAAGCCTGGGCAATGCCGTCCTTGGGTAAGCTGCTGGCTATTGATATGGAAAGAAGAGAATGTGCACTGTGGGACAGCTCACAATGTCCACTATCTTCCTTGTGCCCAAACCTTTCCA